TAATAACAAATTACTTAAAAACTATAAGGTTGCGCGCTTTAAAACTTTACATACACCCCCTTTAGAACCCCCTCTACCCCCCCTATTTTCCTTAATTCCGTAATCGGGGGTTACCATTCTAAAATTTTCCCACAAATACAAAGTATGTCATAAGGAACAATTACAGAATACGGCCCGTTTAGCTAGATCAACACGAAAAAGTGGGCGTGGTCCACCATTTTTTTCTAATTTTAATGGTATACCAATTTTTTGGTGCAAACTTATATTTTCGGGGCTATGGAGGGAAAAAAGGGGAATTTTCGAAAATTTAAAATGGTTGTATTTCGAAAAATCCTGACCGAATTTAAAAAATTTGGTATCGTTGGAAAGATAAACAAAATCCCTTTTGTCTAATATGCACATTTATATACTTTACATGCATAAATTAAAAAAAAAAAAACTCATTTAATAGAAAAATATTAATTTTTCTACAAATATACCAGTTTTACTAAAAAATATGTGTAAATAGCGATACACCAAACTATAATAGTTAAATAGAGCATAACAATTTTTCGAAATATAGCAATTTTAAATTTTCGAAAATTCCCCCTTCGCCCCTCCATAGCCACGAATATATGTTTGCATCATAAAATTTTTATACCAGTAAAATCAGTAAAATCAAAAAAAGAGTACAAGTACCTCCGTACCGTCAATTCGTTTCAAGTTTTCTTGTATCTTTTGATCTTTTCGTTGCTTCCCATTTAAAGAACCAAGGACTTAAATTCAATTAAAGTTGACGCGTGTGGAAGCAAATAGAAAACACAAAAGAGAATGCGAAAAAATTGCTTTCAAGACTTGACGTGTCTGAAAGGGGACTTAACGGGCCGTATTCTGCAATTGTTCCTTTTAAAATTAAATTAAATTAAAAGTAAATTAGTGCATAACAATTAGATATGTGTTTGTATGTTTCACAGCTGGCTTCCGATTAACATCGACTTCACATCACTGCGGTTGTTCTGGCTATTTCACACAATTAACAAGAAAATTATACCTTATTCTTTTGCATAAACAAGCAATGAAAGTAAAAATTACTTAAACGGAAGATCAAACTTGACATTATTTAATAAACATGTAATTTTTCCAAAATATCGTAAAGAAAAATCGATACATTTTCAAACTCGTTTTGCTATATCGTTTTGCTTGATTTTAGGTATGAGGAAACGACGAACTAATGACGAACAAACGATGTATCACAGTTAACAAATGAAAATAATGAAATTCTTATATTTGGGGTGCTAAAGGCAGGAACCGTAAAATGTAAACAAATTAATTATAAATGTTTGGCTTAGTAACAAACCTTAAAAATGGACGAACAATGAAGAACAAACGACGAACTATCGATTGCAATAATAATTAACCCAAAATAATCTGTTGCGGGTGCTAACTTCAGGAATTACGTAAAGTGAAAATTAAAAAATTAATTATAAATTGTTGGCTAACGAACAAACGTTAAAATTGGACGAACATTAAAGAACAATCGACGATCTATCGATGGCAATACAAAAATCTTAATATTTTCACAAATGGGGTGCTAACGTCGGTTGGGTGTCAAGCTGAAATTAGTCACAGGCCAACTAATATTACCGGCGTGAATTTTTCTACGCACGCACGCAAGTTCTTCACATTTGAGTAACCGAAATAAATTTGCGTGCGTGATTTTTCAGAGTTGCATTTCTGTCCAATTTCAGAAGTTGAGCAAAATTTGTGCATAAATGCAGAATAGCTTCGATTCCCAAATTAAAAAAAAAAACGTACGGGGATCGATAGAGAACATTGAGGTGAGTATAACGGTATATTTCTTTTCTTGCGGAAACAAAAACTACAAAAGTTATTAAGGGTCAAAGTTCAAATTAAACTATTTTTTAAACAAAAAATTCTTAAAAAGTAATATATGGATTTTAAAAGTTTTGACCTCAATCTAAAGGAAATTTAGTTCCCTTTAATTTGATTTACATACTTTATATATGCCTTGTTTAGTTTTCACAAAAATCTAATTAATGTACGCAGAAAGGCGGCAACACAGAAAGGAAAATTCTACTTAGGGAGGATTACATTTATATCAAATTAAAGGGAATCAAATTTCCTATCAAATGAGATCGAATTTATTAAAATCCATGCATTCGTTTTCAAAAAATTTGGATTTAAAGAATTGTTTAATTTGAACTTTGAGTCTTAATAACTATTGTAGTCGTTATTTCCGCAAGAAAAGAAATATACCGTTATACTCAGCTCAATGATCTCTATCGATCCCCATATGTGTTTTTTAATTTGAGAATCGAAGCTATTCTGCATTTTTTCCAAAATTTTAATTCATTGTCGCGCCAAAATGTCATAGAGTACAGACGTCAAATCGAAATGTCACGCAACACAAATCTTGGAATTTGAGTTAGCTTTTTACGCACGCCGGTCAAGTTCGGTTGGTCCCATACAAGATGTATATGCATGAGAAATTTTTGACAGTAAACTGCCGACGTGCGTGAATATTAGGTTGGCCTGTCAAGAACGCAGAACGTATACTTTAACGCCATGAACGAAAGACACAAGATCACGCGGGACGGAAAGAACGAAAAAAGTTATTTTCTAGCTGCCGAAATCTCGACGCCATCTTTGCTGTAAGAAGTAAACAACGAAGAGAACGGAGAAAACCGCGAAATTGTTGAACGCATGAAAAATCATTTTTATTATGCAAATTCTTCTAAAAATCATGCCGTTGTGTTAAATTATTCTTTATCTTATGTGTACACACGTTGTCACAAGCGAAAATGAAGAAAATTGCAGTAAAAAGCCACCACCAAATTGTAAACAACGAAGAAATGTAAATAAACGGCTAATGTCAAAATCGTTCCACTTTTTTCCTTAATGCGATTCTAACGGGCTAGTCTCCTGCCCGCGTGATCTTGTCTTTTTGGTTCATGCTTTAACGCGGTCTGTATATGCAGAATTTTGTCGATTACTGGAGCCCTCAGTGTTGCTTACTACAATGTTGCCACTCATCTATGCCTTTACATAAACTTACCTTTTCAACTACAATTTTTGGTGCTATAATAGATCGTAGCTAAATATAAACTACTTAGTTTTCACCAAAAAACTTTATTCAATAGAAAATTTCAAATATTTTAAACGTATTTTGAATAGGAAATTATACCTTTCTTACCTTTTGCGAAACTGACGAAGTGGCAACCATCTATAGAAGGAAGAAATCAGCTGACACGGAAAAATCTATATTATATCTTGATATAAGCATTTGTAAAATAGCTTTGAAAATGTATTTGTGCCGGATTTAATGGCTTAAAAAATT